ATGACCCCCAGCTGTGTGCACCCCAAGAGGGAGGCTTGGCAGGGGTCGAGGCGGCGGGGGACGCACCCTCGCGAGCCGTGTACTCGTTGTCCTCGATGAGGCGGGCCAGCCCGAAGTCGGCAATTTTGCAGCACAGGGGGTCCGACACGAGGATGTTGGCAGGCCGCAGGGCGCGGGCGGTGGATGTAGTTCTTGGCCTCGATGAAGGCCATGCCTTCGGCGATCTGCGGTTTGCAGTAATTGCAATTAGTAGCCACCAGCCCCAGCTCCAGCCCCCGCAGAGCCCTTCCCCATCAGCAGCCCTCCCTCACCTGCGCAGCCATGTCCAGCAGTTTGTTGATGCTGAGCTTGACTCCTTCCGAGGTCTTGAGGAAGTCCACAAGGCTGCCTGCAGTGAAGGTGGCTGGTCTCAGCAGTGGGCAGGTGCTGCCCCCCCCTCCCCACGGGGTCTGTTGGGTCCAGGTGTCGCAGCAGTGGGTTCCTCGGGGCACCATCCCCCAGTGCAACACCGAACATGGAGCTGGGTGGCTTGAAGCCCCCGGCAATACAGGCAGGAGTGGATGGGAGAGAACTGCCTGCAAGGTCCTTTTCCCCCTGCCAGGTCTGACCCCTGAGCTCCCAGCTGGTGGGGCAGGCATGGTATAAAGCACAGGGAGGTGAAGGATGCCAAAAGCAGCTCAAGACACATCAGCCAGAACTGACTGCTGGAAGGGAACAGCCAGGAGCCGAAGGGACCACGGCTCTTCACACCCCCACCCACAGTGGGCTGCGCCTGGGTGCCCTCACCCTTCTCCATGTACTCCGTGATGATGTAGATGGGCTCCTTCGTCACCACGGCGTAGAGCCGCACCAGCCGTGGGTGCTGCAGGTTCTTCATGAGGTTGGCCTCTGCCAGGAAGGCGCTGGGTGACATGCTGCCCTGCTTCAGGTTTTTGATGGCCACCTTGGTGTGGCCATTGTAGAAGCCTGCGGAGAGATAGGGCAGAGTGTGATGAGGCAGAGGGACCTCATCACCGGGCATGGCCAGGGGACACGTGGCAACAGCAATGCTGGCCACGGAGGCAAATGTGGAGGCTACTCTGTGGATCTGGAGCATCCCAACCCAAGACTGCACAAGCAAGAGATGTTGGAGATTGCAAAGTCTGGCTGAAGACGGGCAGAGGACCCTTGCGCCCTGGAGGATTATTGCAGCAGGGCCAGAGGAATTTCGGGGACAACCACATCTCTGTGCTGGCCACATCCTGGGGAAAAATCTGTAACCGCGTTTTAACCCACTGGGCAGATATTTTTACCTGTGGCTTTCAGCTGCCAGTAGGAAAGGAAGCTGTTGGCTGCTGGGCTTTGAACAGGAGGGGTGGCTGAGGGAGCCGGGCAGCGATGCTGAAGCCTGGCAGCTGCTGGGTGCCCGGAGGGGGTGGGGTATGGCCAGCACCTCTAGGGGTGAAGGCAGGGACCCCGGTCCAGGGCTGTAGGGTGAGATGGAGAGGAGCAGGGCGGCACCAGTGCCTTCCACCGCAGCACCCCAGGAGCAGGAGGTGTTTTTGTGGCTGGGTTGCAGCACGCTCGAGACC